AGGGGAGATGACTAGCAGGTCCCACTGGTAGAAACTGGCAAAGAAGGATTTGAGCCTGGGTAGATCTGATTTCAGAGTCCAATTCTCTTCATTTCTACTACCTCCATCTCAGAAATATTCTCACACATCTCCGGGAAAGTCTTAGTCACAAGCAATTAAAGAGCTTCGGTTTTGCTCAGCCTCTGGGAATTCTTCCACCTCACAGGTAGGTAAATCCAGCCACTCTGAAAGAAAGGGTAGTTTTAAATTTATTGTACCCCTGCAGCATGCCTGAAGTGTTCATGGAGCAGAAGTCATATGACCTAGGCTTCTTTCCTCATTACAGGAGTTGAGATCTTAGGGATGTTCCCCCTTTTTGGTGACCTAAACTGGGGGATGGAAGTAACTAAGACTCTCAGGCCTGGAGTGCACTGGTTAACATGTTTACCTGCCCAGCCAGACCGATTTCTATGTCTTGGGAGCCTCATTCTGACATTAGGGAGAATCATATCTATTAGTAGTGTGCATGTCTTTTGGGTTGCACTGATCAGAATCTCCAGCGTGTCAGAATTGGAGGTGGGGCTAATTGGAGGTGGAGACAGCTAATCTGTTGCTGCATTTGGACCATGTGTACTTATACAATTAATGCATCCAGTGTTCTTTGGACATTCACCACACTCTGGTTCTCTAAGAGCACGTTTGCCAAGTGAACACAGCAGCATGTCAGAAATGACCCCTCCACCAACTCATTCAACAAATTTCACCTTCCAAAAGAAGAAAGATTGACCCAAACAATAACACTTCCTTCCCAGAGAAAAACGTTCATTCATCGCCAGATAAGCATTCTCTGTGACCCTCAGTATATTGACTGTCAGATAATCTCCCAACAGCCCTTCACCCTGCTCCCGAGGACAAGGACCAAGTCAGCACAAATGTACTAACAAATCTCTTGGCACCAAGGGGAGTCAAATTAAATGGTTCAGAGGTATTATTTCTGCCTTACCACTTGGCCATCTTTCCCTTTATGCAGTAAAATCTCCAATAGTTTGGAATTTATGATCCTTTGGACAGAGACAGAGCTGAAGTCTGCTTCTTGACTATTCTGCATAGAAAGGATTTTCGAAGAAAATTAATAGCTTGTTAAAAGAATTGTAAAGGGAATGCTTATTCTATGTAAGGGTGCCGCTTTTCTAGCCCTTTGCTAGCACTCAAGTATCCACAAACAATTGATATGTTAATTTCAAGTGATTTTTAAATGTTCATTAAGTCCTCCCCTACTACTAGTCGTCAATATGGTTATTGTGGTTTGAGCTGGCTTTAAACACTAGGTTTTCACTGAGCCTAAAACTTCTTAGGTATAAACTTTTCTAGACTAAGCAATTAACAAGGAGAATTAAGTTAAAGCCAGGTAAAATGATGACTCTTCTTTGGTGGGGATTAAAGTGGGGGGGGGGATCTCTCTACAGTTCAGGCACCATATTGATTCATGTTGGCTCCCTTCCTGCTGGTGTAGGATGAAGTTTGACTATGGTGACCCTACATCCTGGTTTGCCTGGGATAATCCCTGTTAGATTTTCCATCCTGGATTAATTACTAACAACACTCCTTTCATTCTTAAAGATGTCTTGATATGAACAATTAATTATATAGTCAGTGTAGATTTGATGAAACAAAGGGATTAAAATTGTGATTTCTCAAGGAGATTGAGCTTTCTTTAGACTGGCAGCATTTGGTCTTCTCTATACAAACAAAAAGAATGCTCTGTGAGAATGATGTACTAATGATTCTAAATCCAGATTGCTCTTCAATAGCTCCCCAACCCCCTAACTGAAACAGATCAGAAAGCAGCTAATCTTCCTTCACGGAGCGGGATTTGGGGACCATTCCCTACCCCGTCTCATGTGTGTTAATTCCATCTCAGTATAGTTGCCTGTCAGAAGTTGAAATCCCAAAATTTTTATTGACAGCATTATTTGGGAAAGAAATGGGTAGGTATGAAGAACTTAATATGGGAAAGAATTGTTGATTTCCTTTTGGCCATTATAGGCTTTGTTACAGAGCCGATGTCCATTGAATAAACATTATGTGACACATTCTATTCGGAATATCTTACCTGACTCAGTCTTCACAATCCACCTGGTCTAAGGGGCCACTGCTATTATTTCTAGTTTCAAGCTGATAAACAGGCTCAGAGAGGTAAAGCCACTTGCTCAGAACACCCAGCTAATAAATGATAGGACCAGGACAGGAATCCAGGTTGTCTTATGCTCAAGTCTGAGCTCTTAACCACTATGATATACTGCCTCCCACTCTGTTATACTGTTCTGACATTTGAGTCAGACATCTGCTTGCAATTTGATACATTATAAAGCTATTGCCTCATCAAGTATGCCTCACCAAGGGGGAGGGGGAGGGGCTACGGGGGAGTTTTGCTTGGAGTGCTATTGTACAATGTATGCATGTTACTATGAAATCTACAAACTGAATGTATGCATACTTCTATGCTAGTGCTAAATTACTTTCAGAGACAGACTTAAAATACCCTGGGGAAGTTCACTGAGGGAGGGGGGACCTTACCTATTAACAAATAAGGGTGTAACCAACAGGACTGGCTAGTGTTTCATCCGTTCCCTCCCCCGTCTCCCTGCAGACAGCTACTTGTGCTGATCTGCTGACTGTGAGCTGGGCTTGACTCACGGAACTCAACAACATTTCTGATGAGAACAAGTCCCCAGATTGCCTCTAGAGGAAGCCACTGGGGCTCAGCTGATGCTATGCCACTGTCTCTGTCCTTTTTACTCCTAAGAACTCTGCTTTGGTAACATGGTACTTTCACCCTTAAGTAAGTATAGAGCATTGAAAAGGAAGTGGAAAACTGACCCTCACTGGACGTGGCTGGCTTGGGTGAGATTAGAGATGATTCAGGTTTTACAGCTAGTCTGTTAAAAGACAACTCCAATCCAGCCTTTCCTGAGGTCTTGGATATAAATATTCTTTGCACATTTTCTACCCCAAACCAGGAGTACCAGCTATAAAACAGAGACCATGCCTGTTACAGAAGTATTAAATGGGATCCTTCTAGCATGATGTAAATTTAGGGTTTACGGCTCAGACTTTTACTTCAGGGTGGTTTCCAGAAGGGAAGAAGACCCAAGACATTAAAAGACACGAAGAGTGAAATAATACCAGGGGAGTACGAGGGGTTGCTATTGTAAAAGTCTCCAATGGATTAAATTAGAATTAGCAGAAAGCTACAGAAAGCATGTGGGTTGAGAGGCCTTGTGGACAATTCATAAGATTTGAATTGACCAAGGGAAGGGTATGACAGGAACAAACAGACAGACAAAGGGTAAAAGTACCAAGCAAGGTAGACATCAGGCATGCTTTTCTGAATTAAAACACTGCCAGGAATCTGCTTTCTTCTGCCTACACTCCTGAAATGGAAGACTCTGGACTAAACGCCATGCTTCTAGTTTCCAGTGAAATTTCCTCTAGTCCCTTCTACAAGGGCATTTTCTTTGGCCACCACAGCACCTGATTCACCAACAATAGGTACACTCTAAAGGTGGAATGGATGGCAGAAGCTCAGGAAAATAAAACTGCTGACGTCAAAACTCTCTGCAAAGAACCTCCTTTCAAGTAGAGAAGCATCAGCTTTTGATGGCCTTTGGTGTTATTGTTCCACTTCTCCAGCCTGTGTCAGCAGGTGTCCCCTCCCTCCCATCCATAAATACTGGTAGCTACTGCCTGCAGCCTGCTACATCCTACTGGCCCATCATGTTTCATGTCCACCCATTCCCAGCATGGGACACCCATTTTTCTAAAGACCTGTATGAACCTCTGTCAGACTGTGAAAAGTTCTTCAGTCTGGGTTTGATTCTTCAGATATGATTCCCCATCAGTCTTTCAACCTACACCTACTGGAAAGTTGAGTTTCAGTTGTGCCAGAACAGGCATTCTGTCCGAAGCACTTTCCAGAAATGTTTTCAATCTACTCCCTAATGCAGCCTGCCACTATTAATACATCCTCCAAGTGGCCTCCCCTGGTCCACTTTTTTCTTATGCTCCCACTGAACCACTCATTCAACATCAGCCAAAAATGAGTTTTTATACTGCTTTGATTTTCCCTGACAGAGAGCACAGTCTTCTTCCTTTTATTCTCAACTCCTCTAAAACGAATGATTTATGAAAAGAATTGGGTTGCCTCTGTCTTGGAATGCTTCCATTTTCCCCAGCCTCCTTTTCCTTTCACCCCACATCCTGTTCTCCCTCTTTCTACCTTCCTTTTATGACACCATTTCTACCACCATCCAAGGATCTGTTCTCATTTTTGAGTTCCACACAATCAGATTCTTTTGGAAAAATCGAATAAAACTCTTCCAAGATTATCTTCACGATCTTGGAAGGCTCCACCCTGACTCTTGAGCACAAAGTCTTGGTTTTGGATGCTGGGAAGGAGAGAATTCAGCAGCAGCAGCCACAGCCAGAAAGGTGTGGAGGAGGGTGCTGTTTTGGGTGAATTTGAAGGAACAGCATATGGGCTTTTGTCAAAACGTTCAGAGCTCGCTAGTTGCTGAGCTGAGGATAGATATGTGCTGCTGTCTCTGAACATTGCTCGAGCCAGTTAAACCTTCATCTTCTCTTCTTGTATAATTCACCCCGACCAGCTCAGATCCACCATTCCTTTCCCCCCCTTGGCCTCTGAGCTCTGTGATACCAAGAAAAGTTTTTCAGGAAAGTCATACCCTACCTACACCGCCCACCCAAAGAGATCAAAAGCTCTTGAATAGGAGCTATAGGGTCTGTTGAGTTTTGCTCCCCCCAAAGAATCCCTGTCCCTTCTCACCAGCTGCCACCTCACACAAGTGATTAGTTCCCATGTTCCAGCGGGAGATACCAAGTAGTGACGGGAAAAGACAGGCGCCCTGGCCCAGCTGCCTGCATCCTCCCCTCAGGGCTCCGGGTCACAGGCCAGACGGGGGGACCTTCAGGGTCTCCCCTTTTAAGAAAGAGATTATTACCTTGGCAGTGGCTTGCGGGCCGTGATACTGGCGACAATGATGCTCTCGGGACGCGGAGTGGCCACTGCTTTGAAGGTTCCTCGCCAGAACTTCTCAAAAAGCTGCTTCTCGCCTTGCTGAACGCTCGCCATAGCCAAACCAAATGGGCCAGGACAGCCGGGCGCTGTCCAAAGTGCTGAAACGTAGACTCCAGACCGGGGCACACCCGGCTCCGGGCTCGGTCCGTGTGAAACCCAGCGGGGTGGGATGGGAGAGACTGGAGTTCAGGGCGGGGGATGGGGGCCTCAGCGCTGGCAGGCGGCGGAGAAAGAAGGCTTGTCCGCCGGCTTTCTTCGCCTTCTCGGTTGGCTCTGTGTTGCGCTCTGAGCTTGCTGAGCCTCCGCGCCCCAGGAAGGGAAGGCAGGGCTGGCTTCCTCGGCAGCCCAGGAGAGAAGAGGCGACGGGGTCGTCTGTGTGTGCGTGCGCGTGTGAGCTCCGGCGCGCCCGGGTTTTGTCTCTCGCACAATGTGACGTTGGGAGAGGAGGCTGGTCGCGCGAGCTGCACTTTCCTCCCCCCTCTCCGTCTCTCCTCCTCTCCACCAACACCCTCCTCCTCTGGCTCAGCCTCCTGCCGCCATCTGCATAACAAAAGCCCGCAGGTCTAAGGAGGAGAAAGGGCGGGGCGTGCGCCTGTCACCAGGGCCCGGTGGTGGCGATGGAGTTGGAGCGCTGACCCCTCTGAGAGGCAATCCCGGCACCCCGAACTGAACCAGGCAGAGGATCCTGCTTCCCAGCCCCCTGTTCTCCCCCGTCATCGTGGGGCATTCCCCCACCCTTTCCTTTCGTGCCCTCTGGGTCCGGCCACCTCCCTTCCGAGCCCCTTCTCAAGTCTTGTAGCGGGCTTCTACTGAGGGGGGAAGTAAAAAACTTAACCTATCGGCCCAAGGCACACCCCCCCCACTTCTGGGAGGTACTGCCTAGGCCGGCGAAGGGGGTCCCCTGCGTTCTTCTCTGCGCCTGGGGGCCGCGAGATCTCCACCACCCAGAAAGTGCCATTTGATGGACAATCAGTCACCAGTTCGGCTTCTCACCATCTGCCGAGCCTAACCCCCGCCCGCAGAGGGGCGCAGCGTTACATCTGTGCATGCGGCGCTGCTTAAAGGATCTCTCTTTTGTGCCGCACAGCCAGCCTGCCCAACGTCCCCACGGCCAAACCCGTCCAAAGGGAAGGGTACCCCGCCCACCCCACCCTCCCCCCACCCACTCCTGGGGAATTCAGCTGCTGCCACTTTTCTTAACACGGTTTCTCTCGGGAAAGGACTACGTTTTGGAAGAGGATTTAAGGGGGGAAATCTGAGGATTACAGGGGATAGTTACTTTCTGGTCTCTCCTCCCCATCTTCTAGCCCCTCACAGTTTACTCATACTCTTAGCAAATGGAGGTTTAGAATCCCAAATAAACCTCGAGGATCTAGGCAGAATCACCCCTCCCGACCCCCCACTCCAGGGTTTTCATTCAGAAAAAGATACCATTGCGGGACCCCACAGACTATCTCTCCCTCCTCGGAGCCCTTTAATCTCAGCAGAGTTGCTACTACCCCCGCCACACCCACTAGGTTGTAAATCCTGGAAAGAGGCCTCAATGTGTCTTAAAGGCCTCCAAGCACCTGGAACCGCATCCCCGACACAGCGGGAATAAACCCATGCTTCTTGCTGATGCTGGCAGCGATGGGGACCCAAAGGTCCGGGGGCACCAATGTGAACTTCAGAAATTCTTTGAAAGGGAACAGGAGGTAAATAGGAAGTAAAGGGGTGGAGGAGGATAGAGAGAACAAGATGGGGCAGGGGAAGATAAAAACCTGGAGTAAATGACTATCCGTCCGGGAGAGTATATACATTTGGATGTGTGTGTGTATCCCAAGTTTGTGTACCCGCTTCTGTGAGAGCCTGAGAGCGCTGCTCGCTCTGCAGTGACCCCTTCTGGTCAATAAATAGAGGTGCATTTGCTGGCTTTGGGTTGTGGCTGCCAGGAGGTGGGGCTGGGATGCTTGCAGCTGAAGGAAAGTAGAGCCTAGCCTCACCCCTCCCCTCCGTCACGCCCCCCCCCATGCCAGAAATCCCCCATCCCCCATTGATCTCAGGCCCCATTTCCCACCCTGAAGTTGATGTCCTTTTAAATTCAGTCTAAAGCTGGCCCTTTAATTAACCTGGGATATTTGAAACTATCCTTAGTCATGACATTTGGAATATGAACTGAGTCACTTGCAAGGGAGAGGTAGGTGGGATATTACCCCCACAAGATCAATCAATATCTCCCAGCTGTGCTCTTGTTCTTAATTCCTAGAACGTTGCTCAAGCTTCCACTGGCACACAATTGTCTCTTTGAGCCACACAGCAACCAGGTAGGGTGGGAGAGGAAACTGCTTTTACTGTTTTAAAGATGAGAAAATTGAGGTCTAGGATGGCCAGGTGACTTGGTCAAGGTGATTCTGGACGGAACAAAGAAGGTCTGTGAAGGATAGTTTCTGTTTTGGCTGGAGGTGGGGATGGGGGGACCCTTGGGATGCTAGGTGAGACTTGATAAAAATCACCAGATATCAATAAGCTACGTTCTTAAAAGCACACGGTGTTGAGGCTTCTAAGTTAGGAGTCTCCAGTAATACGTTCAGGGCCTGGGAGCCAGAAGGCCAGGGTTCAAATTTTAGCTCTGTCATTTCCTATCCATCTGATCTTGGAGGAGTGACTTCACCTGCCTATGCCTTAGTTTTTTGGTTTTTGGTTTTTATCAGCAGTGTGAAGATCCTATAAAGATTAAATGTATGTGTTTAGATGGACTAGCTTTAAGGATTAAAGGAATTAACACAGATACAGGTTACGGAACAGTGTCTGGGACATAGTTTACTAAAGAATGTCAATTATAATCCCAATACTTAGGAACACAGCCTCTGGAGTCAGACAGAACTAGAGTATAAAACCCAGCTCTGCCACTTTACAGCTGGATGACCTTGGGCCAGTAGCTAATAGCTTCAGTTTCCCCATCTGCAAAATGGAGACATTAGCACACACTTCATATAGTTGTGAGGATTAAGTGAAATATTACCTGTAAAGGACTTAACACAGTGTCCAGTTCATAGTCAGTGGCCATTAAATGGTAGCTATTATTGCTGATGCTGTTGGAATCATCACTTGTTAGTATCTTAAGTCAGGCCATGTTCAGTTCAATAATCATTAATTGATGACTGTCTTGGATCTTGTTCAGACACCATCCTGGCACAGAGGGTCCAAAGATAAACAAGACATGGGCCTGTCCCTAAAGAAGTTCACAATCTAATTCACCTTCTGGGTCCCCATTGCCTAACATTTGTCTTCTTTGTACTTTATCAAAGTGACTTAGACTTTAGATCCACCTTCTTCCATATAACTGGAATTTCAATTCCTCCATCACTTTATCAAAAATATAACCATCTTGTGACTCATTCCTTCAGGGTATTGCTGTCTGTTTCTCCAGGTGTAAGTCAGCCTACCCATAAACCGAGACCCATCAACATGATGGTTAATGAATACAAATATGTGGCACAATTGCTGCATGTCCTTTGTACTATGCTGATGGCACACAACACTAGTCCATCACAACATTTTTTCTGGGATCTAACCTCAGAATCCTTCTCAACATAATCTTCTAGATAGCCACTGCCAGTTGGTTGGAGTTGGCATTTCAGATAAAATCAATTTGTCATCCATGTCTAGAGGGTGCATCTTTACCTGATTGGTACTGTTCTTTCATTTGAAAAAGAGGAGACCAGGGAGAAGTGATTCTAGGATTTGCAAATCCAGGCACTCTAGAGTAGAAGCTAAAGAGGTTCTCATGCATCCTTTGCCCTAGTGATCTGAAGAAGCAGCACCTCCACCTCAGAGAAATGGCTTCCTCTCCTCCTGAGGCAGCTCAAATCCTACCCTGCTAACATTACTGTGTTACCTCGGGTAAATCCTTTAGTCTCTCTGTGTCCAGGACTTCTCTGAGTACAATGGAGCTAATCATTATCTACCAGCATCAAGGAACATGGGGGAACTTGACAGTCTGTACCCATTTCCAAAAGTCCAGTGAACAGTGAAAAATTCAAATAATGATTGAGATAATAGGAACTATGATAATGAGGCTAATTCATCTGTCTTTGTGCTTTAAAACATGATCTTGCTAAACCATTCAAACTACAAGGTTCTGTATTTCTTCACAGAGACATTTGGGGAGGAAAAAAATGATTGCACTGCTCTACTCAGGGTTTAACAATCCTCACTTTTTGAAAGTTCTACCTTGTGTCTAATCTAAATCCCACCTCTGCTATTTATTGCCCATTCTTCCCCTAGAACATAGATATGTACTGCTTCAAATGCCTCTGAACTAACATGAATAAACAAGGAACCCTCCTTCCTTTATTTCATAGTTCCTAAGATTCTATAAGACAAATGCATTCATTGTTGTCTCAAAAAATAATTATGGCTACGCCTGTCAAGTATATGTTGCTATGTTCTATATTCTAGTCACCGTGTGTGCTAAACCCTTGATGAACATTTTTTCATTTAATTCTCACAAGTCTGTGAGAAAGGAACTATCAATGTCTAAATTTTACATATTGGAAACTAAGTCTTTGAGTGGTTACAATTACTTGCCCAGAATTGCATAGCTAGCAAGTAGTGGAGTCTTGTTTAAAACCCAGATCTGTCTTAAAGTTCAGGCTACACTGAGTTTCAGCAAAAAGATCACAGAAGTGTAACGTTAGGAGAGTATGCACATGTGTCCATCCTGTCTATAGGTTGGATACAAATCTAGAGCTGCCCATCAATCTAAATATCTATTTATGTTACAAATGCAATTTTCAGAGCCTCCACCCTCTTTCTGAAGGAATGGCAAAAACTACTTTCCTAGTACAGCCCTAATATGGGCATCCTGGATTTTAAATAGTTGGGAGGACAGGACATGAATCTTCAAGGCTGCCATATTGATTTTGTTGAAGGAGATCAAGATGAAGAATCTTGGCAGGGAGGAGAACAGGAGGATGGAGCTGTCCAACATCAGGACCTGAATAAAAGGGACTATTCCTCTCCAGAAAAATTGTATCGGCCACCTAATTGGCCTCCCTGCTGCAAGAATTTAATTTGATTTCTGCTTACTTGTTCTTTGTATTTACTCTCCCTAGGTCATTTTTTCCTCAAATTATGGGCCTCCTCATAACTTTCTTCTGCTGAAGACCTTTCACTGACTCCCCACAAATTAGTAGGGTAAGTGCCTAACCCACAAGGCACTCATGATCTGGTATCTGCCTTCTATATCTGCCCTTGAACTTCACCCTCTAGTCATTCCAAATAGCTCTTAGTATCCCTATATACCCGTTCTATTCCATGACTCTCTGAATACTTGAAAATA